CCTGCGTGTACCACCAGTGGTACGCAGGCAACCTGGCAGTGGTACACGGCAGCAGCAGGCAGGGGTGCTCAGGGCACTCGTGCCTGGTGCAGGTGCCCAGTGGGGTACGGCTCCGGCCAGCATTGCATATCGCGGCCAGGGGTGCAGCCTCTGCCTGGCCACCTGTATTGCCAGCGCTCCCTGCACGCACATGCAGCTCTTGCACTCTCCACACATGCGAGGGAAGACCTGCGCGCTGGGGCCGGTGGTCTTCTCCGCTGGTGCTGCATGGGGTGGGAGGGAAGCCCCAGGCGCCTTCACCTGGGGAGCAAGGAAGGCAGCTGGCTTCAGCGCAAGGGACTTCCCTCCTGTGCCCAGCGAGTGCTGGCATTACAGACTGCCCGGCAGAGGATGCGCCCCTTGCTGCAGTGTGCAGCGCTGGCTGGAACCGCGCACTGTTGGGTGGTCTGAGCACACTCACCTGCTGCTGCACCATGGAGGGGAGTGCAGGGGTCCCCCCACCCCTCCACCTGGTGGTACTTAAGGTTGTATTGTTTTAAATTGGTGCTGCACAATCTGTCAGTTTAAGACCCTCTGTCCTATAACTCCTTTTTTGTAAGACATTTTCAAATTAAGAGATTATGTATTCTCTCCCTCTCTTCCTTTCTGGCTTTTATTTTTACCTTGGGGCAGCCATCAGCTTTGCTTGGCATGATTAAGGTCCAAAGCTTTGCTCTGACTGGCAGCTCCCCCAGGGGCTAGGCTCTGCAGAACTAATGGATTTACCTTTGAATGGTGGAAAGGCAGGAGGAGGGCCCGGGGTTTCTGAGAGGGTGCAGGGCATGTATACAGAACAAATATTTGGAGGGGCCAGTTGCAAGAATCCTCGAGGAGCCCAGAAATGATTGATGGTAACATCCAAGATGGATGCAGGGATTACAGTCCTGGTAGTCGGTAGCAAGTATTCAGCATCATTTCTTGTAAAAAAAAAAAAAAATAAAAAAAAAAAATAAAAAATGGATTCATACAGTCTGCTGTAAAGGCTGTTCTGTTTGTGGTAGACACAGCTGTTCTGGTTCGACTTAGCCCAGAGTTGGTTGACCAGCACCTATGTGGGGTAGATGTGGGAGGAGAACAGCCTGGGCGAGAGGAAATTCAGCGGTATTTTTATTTCTCACGGAGTTTCACATTCTAATAATAAGGTTGAATAAGGAGAAAGTGTAAGACACTGGCCTGGGAAACCCCATCTGAGTTCAGTTCCTGGGTCCACCACATCCTTGTGACTTAGGAGCAGTCACTTAGGTGCCTTTCTGTTCTTCCCCATCGTGAAATGGGATTGTTCCTTCCCTGCCTCCCAGCTGTAAATTCATGTTTTACATATGAGACATACCACTGTCAGAGTAAAATCCAGATGGACAGAATTATGTCGAGCCAAACTCTGGCATTGGGCCCAAAATGCCTGGGGTGGCTTAAGAGCTCAGATGGGCTTTGGAAAAGTGTTGGTCTTACTCTTCCCCCAGTACAGCTAATGGTAAAATGTACTGGGCTAGAATTAGACCAACCCTACCTGCTGGCTTTCTCTGTTGTACTCAAACGAGGAAAAACCATATAGCTCATCTATGAAGAAAAGTATGAGTCACAAAAATAATCAAATGAATTGCATTCTGATTTGGTGCCCCATTTCTACTTTCCCATTCAAAAATGGGCAGCTGGTTTTGCATGCTTTTAACCTCTGTTGTTTATTTTAGTAAACCAAGTAATCTTTCTATCACAATGATTGCAGGGGATGCTGCAATTGAAATTCTCCTAAAGCTGGGAGGCTTACAAGCTGGATTTCTGAATATCTTGTGGCCATCAAGGTTTTGCATGAATGAGAAACTTGTTAGTGAAATTAATAGCCCATTGGGAGATGTGACTGTCTTAGATAACAGGGAGTTTGGGGTAATTGAAGTTGAATTTTATGATCTAATTGAAGGGCAGGCGGTATAGTCTTTTGTCAGGGATGCCAAGTTTGAAAAATGATGTGTAGTTTATTGAATTCAGCCAGCCATCAGCAGTTCCAGCCCTTTCCTCTCTGCCCTTTTGGCTGCGTTGTAATGGGTGAATAATAATTTTAAAATAATTTTAGGGAGAGCAAAGAGACAAATACCCACACCGTTGAGAAGAATTAGAAATAAAGCACATTCCAGTTTGGTTTCTAAAGCGTACATGTTCTCCACTGAACTAAAGCATCAAAGAAATGTCATACATCTGATATGGGGCTGGTTTTGTTCAATATCTTTATCGAGGTATTGGTCTGGAACTTGGGATGGAGTGCACCCTCAGCAAGTTTGTAGATCATACCAATTGGGGGGAGTAGTAGATATGCTGTAGAGTAGGGCTAGGATTCGGAGAGACCTCCACAAATTGAAGGATTGGACCAAAAGAGATCTCACGCAGTTCAACAAGGACAAGTGCAAAGTCCTGTGCTTAGGATGCACCGGTACAGGCTGGGCAGCAGCTCTGCAGAAAAGGACCTGAGGGTTTCAGTGGACAATAAGCTGAATACGAGTCAACAGTGTGTCCTTGTTGTGAAGAAGGCTGATGGGGTGCATCAGTAGGAGCATTGCTAACAGATTGAGGGAGGTGGTTATTCCTCATTATTCAGCCCTGGTGAGGCCTCATTTGGAATACTGTGGCCAGTTTTGGGCCCCCCACTACAGAAAAAATATAGACAAGTTGGAGAGAGAAGAGCAGTGAAAATGGTTCGGGGGCTGGGGCACATGACTTTTTTGAAGAGACCGAGGGAACTGGGCTTATTTAGTCTGGAGAAGAGAAGACAGAGGGGATTTAATAGCAGCCTTCAGCTACCTGCAGGGTGGTTCCAAAGAAGACGGAGCTAGACCAGGGGTCAGCAATGTTTTGGGGCTGAGTGCCAAAACCCCCCACAACCTGGCCTTCAAAGATGTTGGCATGCTGGGGCAGATGGTGAGGGAGCCACGGGGGCCCAATCCTTGTCATGGCAGCGCTGTCCCGGCCCCTTCCCTCCCATGCTCCCCAAGGCATGTGTGCAGTTGCTGCCAGCTGTGAGCCAGGCTGGGGCTCTAGACCCTGGTGCAGATGCTTGCAACCTTGTGGCTGCCTGCTGTAAGCGTGCATGGCAATGAGCTGGGCTGGGACTTTGGACCCTGGTACAGTTGCTTGCAGGCTCATGCCTGCCTGCCACACCCAGCCAGGGCTCTGGGCAACTGCTGCCTGTCACTGAGCCCAGGCTGCTCCCAGCAGGGTTGGCAGCCTCCTTGCCACCTGCTGTGAGCAGCCTGGGCTCTGTGGCTGGTGGCAGCCGCTTACAGCCCAGGCCAGCTGTGGTGTCCCGAGCAAAATGGCCTTGCATGTCAAGCTCTGGCTCATGTGCCAGGGGCTGGTGACCCCTGAGATACACTATTCTTAGTGGTGACAGATACCAGAACGAGGACCAACGGTCTTAAGTTGCAGCAAGCAAAGTTTAGGCTGGATATTAGGAAAAACTTGCTCACTAGGTGGGTAGTAAAGCCCTGGACCAGGTTACCCAGCGAGGTGGTAGAATCTCCATTCTTGGAGGTTTTTAAGACCTGGCTAGACAAAGCCTTGCCTGGGATGATCTGGCTGGGAATGGTCTCGCTTTGAGCAGGGGGTTGGACTAGATGTGACCTCCTGAGTTTCCTTCCAACCCTAATTTTCTATAATTCTATTATCTCTCTTCCTTGAGGTTTGTTAGAGCATCTCTTGGTATACATAGAGGCTTTTTATTTTCTGTACTGCCTTTCAAAGTCCTTGAGACTAGATGTTAAAGCCATATATTCCCATTTCCAAACAAAACAACACTTTCTGGTTCAATTACATGAACAGTTTGTTTCTGGTGATGAAGTTGGTGTCTGCCTGTTCCCAGATCACTAATAAATCTCTCTTCTTTTTCTCCCCTTCCATGTTTTCTTCGGACCGTTGATGGAAATCTGCAGAACTCCCTGCTGAAGAAAGTAAGTAGACTTTGATTGACGTTGGAGTCAGCCTACATCTCCCCCTCTTCTTCCTCACGCTTAGAGCATGTCTTGGAGTTGTGGAGTGTATGATGCAAGCTTGCCCCATGAACGGTGCTCGGGAGCTCATAAGGGTTCTCATCCAACATCTCTGGGAGTATTTTATGGCTTGCAGGAACTATGGATCAAGCTTATGGAGAGGGGTGGCCATCTAAGAATAACTTAGACTCAGTTAGGAGGTGAAAGCACTGATGTTGAGAATCTGGAGTCTAGAGACTGACCTTGAAAGCTATTCTGTAACTTCTTGATTTCAGCACTGGATGTTTTGGATCCTTGTATGGAACAACTGTAGAGAAACCAAATCTATGCAAACCTACAGTAATACTACCACAAGGGTGTTTCAGACGCTAACAGCAATTCTGTGCAGTGATCACTTACTGCGCCAAGTCACTTTGCGACGTAGTTGCCCTGCTTTGCAACGCAGGTATTCCAGTAATTCACAAGTCACTTGATACCATCCTCAAAGAAGCATTTTGGCTTCTGTGACAACCGTGCCTGCACCACGAGTTGCACCTCTGTATTACTGCCAAATCCATGCCGCCTTCAACAGTCCAAAACAGATGATAATTACCTGATGAAAGATCAGGGTGGATGTGGTAAGAGTTGAAAGTCCAGTCCATGTGAAGTCTCAACAATTGCCTATAAACTGTGTGACTTTGCATTGTTGCATTGAAGAACACTTTGCTTGAGGTTTCCATGGCATTTGGTCTGAGCAGCTGGCTTCAGGTGGTTTTGGAGAATGTGGCAGTAGGTTCTTGAGCTCATGCTTCATGAAGCAGACGAGGAGTAATCCTGTGCAATCCCAAAATGAAATGAGGAAGAGC